TTTTGGCTATGTTGCTCTGCAGAACTGGGAATTGCTTAGCGCTTACTTAGACGCACGTCGGTGTCTCAGGTGGCCTGAGAGATCTCGGTGAAAATGTGTCTGTTTTTGGTGCAGCCCTTTAGATCCTCCTGGACCTCATCACTCCCCCAGAAACTGAGGAGGACCTGGGTCTCACTGTCGCTCCAGGGGAACTTGGAGCCGTCAGTTGGAGGACGGCTAGCTGAAGACAAAGACACCCAATTAACACATTCTTTATAGTGGAAAGGGGTTTAGGTCAGTTGAAATATGACAACTCATAAAACGTTTCAAGGTATGGTATGGCTTTGCTTTACCTTTCCTTTGGTCAACCTCAAGTATAGACTTGCAGACAGCAGCTTCCTCATTGTCTAACGAATCTTCGGCCAAACTGTCGAAGTTGAGCTCCTTCGATAAAATCTCCTCCATCTGGTCATAGAACTTACACTCCCTTGTGGGGAAATGAAAGATTAGACATATGGTTCAGAGGGAATTTCAGTTGGATCATCATATCCTCTGACCATATGTACTATGTAACAATACCAGTGATAAAAACAAGACCGCAATTACATTGTTTATTAATGAGATGAAGTTGAGTAAAGCATTGATTTGATGAAGTAAAGATATCGCATCTCAATTTATATCCGATGTTGTAGTGTAATTTATAAAGTGAATTACTAGACATAAAATAGTAGTTATGAATCCTTTGCACTCACTTGTCATGGTGGAAGCTGGCCTTGAGTCGTTTGATGCGGGTGTGGCACTGCTCAGCTGTCCTTATGAACCCCTGGGCCATCATCCTCCGTGAGATGTACTCAAACACGTGTCTGTTCTTCAAGCAGCCACGGAGGGAGAGCTGCACGTGGTCCTCACCCCAGACCCCCAGCAGAGCCTGGGTCTCCCGATCGGACTAGGGCATCTTTCTGCTGGACTCTGTCACAGCGTAACTGGCTGAGCCCTGGCCTTAAAAAATATATATGTTTTTGGGAGGCTTTAGGTGGCTACTAAGTACATTTATAGAAGATTGATTATTACTAGGGTCCTGATTTGACCTGACCAGGACAAACAACTGTTGGCACTGACACAGGAAAAACACAGGGCCCTAATGACATTAGACTTAGAGGGTAAGGATGATTAGGAGGCACCATACATGTTTCCTGATCTGCTTCCTCAGTGGGATCTGGATTGAAGTCATCACACAAATCAACAATCTCTGCATCGGGGGAGAGAGTGTCGTTGCCAAGCACCGGCTCCAGGAACCTGAAGTATCTGAAAAATAAGGGCTCCCCTCCGTCTCTTTAGGTACGACCAGAGGTAGAGGGAGGTGGAGAACAGTGGGAGGTGAAGGGTTCATTTGTAACAGGTCCCAATTTAGGCACCAAGACTCACCTTACCCACAAATGATCTGTGCTTGCCACTTATGTCCTGCTGTGGTGACACCTTCGGTAGGTTTTCCTCAGCCCCTTAACCCTCGAGTGGCACTGCGCAGCCGTTTTGAAGTGCCCCATGGTGGCCAGCTTCTCCGCTATGTCGGATAAAATGTGCCTGTTGCGGACCCAACCTCTGAGGCTTGTCTGGACCTCCTCGTTCCCCCACAGCTCAATGAGGGCCAGCGTCTCATCTCAGATCGTAGGTACCGTCCTGCTGATTGGATTGACTGAGTCTACAGTGTAAACATATAACCGTCTGTACGATCACTGTACCTGTGTCCTGGTCTACCGTTTGATCGTCTCTTTCATCGTACTCATCAATGGAGACCGCTTCATGCCCAAGTATTTGCTCCAACTGATTGTAGAACTTGTATTCCACTCCCTTTCTTCCACATCTGAGAATAGCAGACAGAAAAGGAAGCCATTTTGAAATAAAAAAAATGTGGGTCGAAAATATTTTGGGATGCAGTATTCTGGCTATGGGTTAGATTAGAGTACACTTATTTGTATGTTTCTGTAAATTAATATCAACATAAAAAGTCTAAACATCAGAAAGTGTCACATTTTTACCTTTTGGGTTTAAACATACTTTTTACTGTTGTAGCACTGAAGGAAGTTGTTCCTCGTGGACTTTACTTTCAACGATACTGCTCTAGGGTCTTGGAGTACCCATGGTCATGCATCTTTTCTGATATGTCCATGTAGATGGGGCCATTTTGGACAAAGTCTCTCAGCACCCTCTGAACCTCGTCCTCCCCCCAGATGTCAATGAGGGCCAGGGTCTCAGGATCCGACCATGAGCCTGATGTGGTCCTCTCAGAAGTGGTGTTGTTGTCCGCTTCTGTAGACTCTAAATACAAAACAGCCCAATAACAAAATGTCACACCCTGGCTCTGGGACTGTGTAGTTTGAGCCAGGGTGTATTCATTTGGTTGTGTTGGGTATAGGGGGTGTTCATTTGGTTGTGTTTGGTTTTGGTTGTAGTGTCTTGTCTTGTCATGTGACTCCCAATCGGAGGTAACGAGTGTCAGCTGTCGGCTCGTTATCTCTGATTGGGAGCCATATTTAAACTGTCAGTGTTCACCTTAGGGTTGTGGGTTTTTGTTCCATGTTTCAGTCTGTGTACTGAGGACTTCACTATCCGTCATTGTTTATTGTTTTCTCGTTCGTGCACTTTAACTTTAATAAAGTCATGTTCGCTACAAACGCTGCGCTTTGGTCCACTCCTTCCGTAGACGGCCGTGACAGAAAAACCCACCATACCAGGACCAAGCAGCGTGTCCAGGAGCCAAGGGTCTGGACATGGGAGGAGACTGTGGACGGTAAAGGGTCTTGGACTTGGGAGGAGATCCTGGATGGGATGGATCGCCGGCCATGGAGTAAAACAGTGGAGAGGCGACTGAGAGAGGAGCAACGGCGTCAGCAGGGCCATCGTCGGAAGGACGAGAGGCAACCCCAAAAAGTTTTTTGGGGGGGGCACATGGCTTGGGCGGCTGGGCAGCAGGAGGCTGCCACAGGGAGACGTGGAGAGAAGGCTACCGGATTACGGGAGCCATTGGCGAGTAGAGGGAGGGAAGTAGTTGAGGCACGGCGTGAGAGACTGAGGTGTGTTGCCAGTCCGGTCCGGCCCGTTCCTGATCCCCGGTTAAGGCCAGTGGTGTGTGTTCCCAGTATGGACCGGCCTGTTCCTACTCCACGTACAAAGCCTACGGTGTGCGTCGCCAGCCCAGCCCGGCCTGTTCCTGCTCCACGCACAAGGCCTACGGTGTGCGTCGCCAGCCCTGCCCGGCCTGTTCCTGCCACCCGCACTAAGTTTACGGTGCGCGTCGCAAGCCCAGCCCGGCCTGTTCCTGCTCCACGCACAAGGCCTACGGTGTGCGTCGCCAGCCCTGCCCGGCCTGTTCCTGCCACCCGCACTAAGTTTACGGTGCGCGTCGCCAGCCCGACCCGGCCTGTTCCTAATCCACGCACAAGGCCTACGGTGTGCGTCGCCAGCCCTGCCCGGCCTGTTCCTGCCACCCGCACTAAGTTTACGGTGCGCGTCGCCAGCCCGACCCGGCCTGTTCCTGCTCCACGCACAAGGCCTACGGTGTGCGTCGCCAGCCCTGCCCGGCCTGTTCCTGCCACCCGCACTAAGTTTACGGTGCGCGTCGCCAGCCCGACCCGGCCTGTTCCTGCCACTCGCACCAAACATACGGTGCGCGTCGCCAGCCCGGTCCGGCCCGTTCCTGCTACTCGCACCAAGCCAAGGGTGCGAGTCGTCAGTCTGGTCCGGCCTGTTCCTGCTCAACGCACAAAGCCTACGGTGTGCGTCGACAGCCCTGTCCGGCCCAGTCCTGCTCCCCGCACCAAGTCTACGGTGTGCGTCGACAGCCCTGCCCGACCTGTTACTGCTCCACGCACCAAGTCTACGGTGTGCGTCGACAGCCCGGTCCGGCCCGTTCCTGCTTCCCGCACCAAGTCTACGGTGTGCGTCGACAGCCCTGCCCGACCTGTTCCTGCTCCACGCACCAAGTCTACGGTGTGCGTCGACAGCCCTGTCCGGCCCAGTCCTGCTTCCCGCACCAAGTCTACGGTGTGCGTCGACAGCCCTGCCCGACCTGTTCCTGCTCCACGCACCAAGTCTACGGTGTGCGTCGACAGCCCAGTCCGGCCCGTTCCTGCTCCCCGCACCAAGTTGGTGGTGCGTTTCGTCAGCCCTGTCCGGCCCAATCCTGCTCCCCGCACCAAGTCTGTGGTGCGTTTCGTCAGCCCTGTCCGGCCCGTTCCTGCTCCCCGCACCAAGTCTGTGGTGCGTGTCGTCAGCCCTGTCCGGCCCGTTCCTGCTCCCCGCACCAAGTCTGTGGTGCGTTTCGTCAGCCCTGTTCGGTCCGGTCCCGCTCTCCGCACCAAGTCAGGGGTGCGCTTCATCAGCCCGGTCCGGCCCATTCCGGCTCCCCGCGCCAAGGCAGTGGTGCGCGTCGTCAGCCTGGTAAGGCCCGTTCGTCCTCCACGCACCAAGCCAGGGGCGCGTGTCGTCAGTCTGGCTCCGGCAGGCGGGGCTAGACAGGACCAGGGGTACTTTGGGGGGTTGGAGAGGAGGTGGGGATCAAGGCCGGAGCCAGAACCGCCACCGAGGAGGTATGCCCGCCCAGCCCTCCCCTGTTTTGGTTAGTTGAGGCGCGGTCGCAGTCCGCGCCTTTAGGGGGGGGGTACTGTCACACCCTGGCTCTGGGACTGTGTAGTTTGAGCCAGGGTGTATTCATTTGGTTGTGTTGGGTATAGGGGGTGTTCATTTGGTTGTGTTTGGTTTTGGTTGTAGTGTCTTGTCTCGTCATGTGACTCCCAATCGGAGGTAACGAGTGTCAGCTGTCGGCTCGTTATCTCTGATTGGGAGCCATATTTAAACTGTCAGTGTTCACCTTAGGGTTGTGGGTTTTTGTTCCATGTTTCAGTCTGTGTACTGAGGACTTCACTATCCGTCATTGTTTATTGTTTTCTCGTTCGTGCACTTTAACTTTAATAACGTCATGTTCGCTACAAACGCTGCGCTTTGGTCCACTCCTTCCGTAGACGGCCGTGACACAAAAAAGTTTCCCTGTTTAGACTTGGCAAAGGTACTTGTGTTGAGGGGACGTGTCATTAGAAAGTTTGCAAAGTTTGAAATGAGCTGAACTTTTACCTTGAAGTGAGTCACTGTTTGATTCCTCTGATATGTCATTGGTCAAGTCTGTCACCACCGTGCTGGTGGAGGGAGGCTGCCTTTCAAGCATTTTTTCCAAAATATCGTAGAACTTAAAATCAACCTGCTCAGACCCAGATGAACTAGGAACAGCACAGGTAGAGAGAGATTGCAAAAGTAGACTCTATCTGTAATCCAATTCACATTAGCAAAATGACAAATGTATCAATAATAGAAGCTGAAAGGCAATTGTTACCTGATAGTTTCCTGACACTGCCGATAGCTGTCTTCCAAGTGCTTTATCCTGGTGTGGCACTGCTCTGCAGGTCTGTAAAAACCACAGAACTTGAGCTTTTCTGAATCTCTGAGTATATGTGACCGTTGTGAGGGCAGCGCTTCAGGTTCTGCTGCATAGTGTCATCTCCCCAGAGTTCCAAGAGGATCACCGTCTCGCCGTCCACCCAGGGGATTTTCTTCCTGTTCTCTGGCACGCCCACCACAGCCTCTGACTGGATCAGAGTCAAAGTGAAAGAGTGTGTGAGACAGATTGGCCCAATCCCAAACCATCCACTCACCCTTATCCCTAAACCCTTGTTGACTCCTCCTCACAGATATCAAAGAATGAGTCAGATATGCTAGGTCAAGTTTCTTCCCCATCCTTCCATACCCATACAGGAGTGTTCAAGTTCATCTTATTATATTTTACTAGTGAAAGTTTTAAAAAATATATGGGGGATTGGAAATGATGCAGACAATTACATTGATGGAAGCCACAATTATCTGCAATATTAAAGTTGATTTAGAACTGGACCGGAGAGGCCAGCCCTCTCTGATTATCAGTCCGTATAGTACTGTTGACCATGATGTCCTTCTGGACAGACTGGAGAGATGGGCTGGCCTCTCCGGTCCAGTTCTAAATTGTTTTAGGACCTATTTAACTGGTCTAGAGGTTTTTGTCACCCTTGGTGAACATAACTCAGAGAAAATACGTATCACGTGGCGTTCAACAAGGTTCGATTTTGGGTCTGGTACTGTTTAGTTTATATATGTTACCCCTTATCAGAAAGCACAGCATTGATTTTCACTGCTACGCAGACGATCCACAACTTTAAATGTTTGTGTCTCCAGAGGATTTTAGCTCCACGGATAAATTATTAGACTGTATTTGTCACGGATTCTGCCGAGGCTGCTCCTCCTCCTTGCTCGGGCAGGCTTCGGCGTTAGTCGTCCCCGGAGTACTAGCTGCTGCCGATCAATGTTTCGGTGTTTGTCTAGTTTAGTCTGTATTGTTTACACCTGTTCCCCATTATGTTTGATTGTATGCCCTATATTTACCCCTGTCTCTCATTTGGATTTTGTGTGTGATTGTTTCTTTGTGACGTGTGTCGTTGGTGAGCGGGTTAGTTCCTCCCTGTGTGGAGGTATTCTGTTTCGTGTTCTTTGCATTCTGAGTAAAGTACGTTTCCGAGAGTTCTGTGTCCTGCGCCTGACTTCTTCCACCGCATTTCACTGACATTCGTGACAGAATCACACACCACGACATGGAGTGAGCAGGAGCGGCGGTGCCAACGGGATCACTGGAGGAGCGCGTTTTACAACAGGCGGCTATGCTCCAGGATCTTGGTACCGCCATGGAAGGGGTGATGAACACCATGAGGCGATGGGAAAGAGGAGGTTTGCCCACACATCCTCCAACGATACCACCACCATCAGCCATACCCATCGTTTCACATCTGGAGTCCAGTGGGATTCGGCTCTCGCTCCTGAGGGCTTATGATGGCACCGCAGCCGGGTGTAAGGGTTTCCTGCTCCAAGTGGAACTCTACCTGGCAACCATCCACCCGGCGCCCTCGGGATATGAGAGCGTGTCCGCCCTCATCTCCTGTCTGTCCGGCAAGGCACTGGAGTGGGCCAACGCCGAGTGGGGGGGAATAGATGCCGCTACAGTAAACTATGTGGAGTTCACCCGCCGCTTCAGGGCGGTGTTCGATCATCCCCCAGAGGGGAAGGCGGTGAGCGTCTGTTCCACCTCAGACAGGGGAAGAGGAGCGCGCAGGAGTTCGCACTGGACTTCCGGACTCTGGCTGCCAATGCGGGATGGAATGAGAGGGCCCTCATCGACCACTACAGGTGCAGCTTAAGGGAGGACGTTCGTCGAGAGTTGGCCTGCAGGGACACCAACCTAAGCTTCGATCACCCTGTTGGCTACCCGCGGACGTCCGGAGTTGGGGCCGTCCATTCCATCCCCCAGCACTTCCGAGCCGAACCCTATGGAGCTCGGGGGTGCTGGTGCTAGGGAGACTAGGAGGGAGACCAGGAGAGAGGCCGTCCCCTGCACCAACTGTGGCCGCAGAGGACACACTGCTGTTTGGTGCTGGGGAGGGTCTCCTAGGAATCGAGGCAGCAGGCAACGCACTGATGAGTCATTCCAGGTGAGTAAGCACCCAACTCACCCAGAGCTCTCTGTTGTACATATGGGTATTAAAGTTGTGTTTCCAGAGGTTTCTTCTCACTCCCAGCATAAGGCGCTAGTAGATTCAGGTGCAGATGGGAATTTTATCGATCGCCATTTCACCTATAAGTTAGGGATCCCTATTGTACCATTCGATGTGCCCTTCCCCATCCATGCCCTAGATAGCCGTCCTTTGGGGTCGGGATTGATTAGGGAGGTCACAGCGCCACTTAAGATGAAGACGCAGAAGGGCCATGAGGAGATTATACAGTTGTATTTGCGTTTCCTGTGGTGTTGGGGCTTCACTGGTTAACATCTCATGACCCCAACATTTCATGGCAACAGAGGGCTCTCAAGGGATGGTCTGATCAGTGTGTGGGGCGGTGTGTAGGTGTTTCCATAGGGGCAACGACGGTGGAAAGTCCGAACCAAATGCCCACAATGCACATTCCTCCTGAGTATGCCGATTTGGCACTTGCCTTCTGTAAGAAGAAGGCGACTCAATTACCACCTCATCGACAGGGGGATTGGGCGAGAGACCTCCAGGTTTGCGCTGTGCTCCCTCGTAGTCATGTGTATCCTCCGTCTCAGGAGGAGATGGCAGCTATGGAGACATACGTCACCGAATCCTTGAGACAGGGATACATACGGCCGTCCACTTCCCCTGCGTCCTCAAGTAGATTTTTTGTGAAGAAGAAGGATGGGGGTTTACGCCCGTGTATTGATTACCGTGGTCTCAATCAGATTACAATTAAATACAGCTATCCTCTCCCTCTGATTGCTAGTATGACGGAGTCATTCCACGGGGCGCGATTCTTCACAAAATTGGATCTCAGGAGCGCTTACAACCTGGTGCGCATTAGGGAGGGAGATGAGTGGAAGACAGCATTCAGTACCACCTCGGGTCACTATGAGTACCTCGTCATGCCATACGGTTTAATGAATGCTCCTTCAGTCTTCCAATCATTTGTGGACGAGATTTTCCGGAATTTGCATGGACAGGGGGTAGTGGGGTATATTGATGATATTCTAATATACTCCGCTACACGAACCGAGCATGTGTCCCTGGTACGTCGGGTGCTGGGTAGACTGTTGGAGCATGACCTGTATGTGAAGGCGGAGAAATGTCTGTTTTTCCAGGAGTCCATCTCCTTCTTGGGACATCGGTTGTCCGCGTCAGAGGTGGAGATGGAGATTGACCGCGTTTCAGCCGTGTGTAATTGGCAGACTCCCACTACGGTTAAGGAGGTGCAGCGTTTTTTGGGTTTTGCCAATTACTACCAGAGGTTTATCCGGGGCTTTGGACAGGTAGCAGCTCCCATCACCTCCCTGCTAAAGGGGGGCCCGGTGCGTTTGCAGTGGTCGGCTGAGGCGGACAGGGCATTTAGACATTTGAAGGACCTGTTCACCTCGTTTCCGGTGCTGGCAGATCCGGATCCCTCTTTGGCGTTCCAAGTTGAGTTGGATGCGTCCGAGGCGGGGATCGGTGCTATACTGTCTCAGCGCTCGGGCACGCCTCCAAAACTCCGCCCCTGTGCTTTCTATTCTAAGAAGCTCAGTCCGGCGGAACGCAATTATGACGTGGGGGACAGGGAGCTGCTAGCGGTGGTTCAAGCCCTGAAGGTGTGGAGACATTGGCTTGAGGGGACTAAACACCCTTTTCTCATTCTGACTGACCATCGTAACCTGGAATACATCCGGGCAGCGAGGAGACTGAACCCTCGTCAGGCTAGGTGGGCCATGTTTCTTGCCCGGTTTGTATTTAAGCTCACTTATATCCCAGGGTCACAGAACGTTAAGGCAGACGCCCTGTCCCGACGATATGACACAGAGGAGAGGTCCATTGAGCCCACTCGCATACTTCCGGAGTCTTGTCTAGTGGCACCGGTGGTGTGGGAGGTCGATGCGGAAATCGAGCGGTCATTACGTACCGACCCTACTCCCCCAGAGTGTCCAGAGGGGCGGAGGTACGTGCCGCTCGAGGTACGTGATCGACTGATATATTGGGCTCACACGTCACCCTCCTCTGGTCATCCTGGTATTGGTCGGACAATGCACTGCCTTAGCGGGAATTACTGGTGGCCCACCTTAGCTAGGGACGTGAGGGTTTACGTTTCTTCCTGCTCGGTGTGCGCCCAGTGTAAGGCACCTAGACACCTGCCCAGAGGGAAGTTACAACCTCTACCCGTTCCACAACGGCCGTGGTCTCACCTGTCGGTGGATTTTGTCACGGACCTTCCCCCCTCCCAGGGGAATACCACGATCTTCGTCGTTGTGGATCGGTTTTCTAAGGCCTGCCGTCTCATTCCTATGCCAGGTCTTCCTACAGCCCTACAAACGGCCGACGCCCTGTTTACTCACATTTTCCGGCACTACGGGGTACCTGAGGATATAGTGTCTGATCGGGGTCCCCAGTTCACCTCTAGAGTTTGGAGGGCATTTATGGAACGTTTGGGGGTCTCGATTAGCCTTACCTCTGGTTTTCACCATGAGAGTAATGGGCAGGTGGAGAGAGTAAACCAGGATGTGGGTAGGTTTCTGAGGTCCTATTGTCAGGACCGGCAGGAGGAGTGGTTGGGGTATATCCCCTGGGCAGAGATAGCCCAAAACTCACTCCGCCACTCCTCCACTAATCTTACGCCTTTTCAGTGTGTGTTGGGTTATCAGCCGGTTCTGGCACCCTGGCATCAGAGCCAGACCGAAGCTCCTGCGGTGGATGAGTGGTTTCGGCGCTCGGAGGAGACATGGAACGCTGCGCATGCAGCGGGCCATCAGACGGCAAAAGGCGAGCACCGATCGCCACCGCAGTGAGGGTCCGGTTTATGCACCGGGAGATCGGGTCTGGCTCTCGACCCGAAACCTGCCCCTTTGCCTTGAACGAGGTTTGTTATAGGTTACAACTGCCCATTAATTACCGCATTAACCCCTCGTTCCATGTGTCTCTCCTCTTCCACTAGACATCGAGGGGGCTCCGGCGTACTCAGTCCGTTCCATCGTGGATTCGAGGCGTCGGATGGGGGGTCTGCAGTATCTCGTGGAGTGGGAGGGGTACGGTCCGGAGGAACGGTGCTGGGTCCCTAGGAGGGACATCCTAGATCCCTCCTTGTTGAGGGATTTCCACCGGAGTCATCCGACTCGCCCTGCTCCGCGTCCTCCTGGCCGTCCCCGAGGCCGGTGTCGGCGCACGGCTGGGGCCGCGCGTCAAGGGGGGGGTACTGTCACGGATTCTGCCAAGGCTGCTCCTCCTCCTTGCTCGGGCAGGCTTCGGCGTTCGTCGTCCCTGGAGTACTAGCTGCTGCCGATCGATGTTTCGGTGTTTGTCTAGTTTAGTCTGTATTGTTTACACCTGTTCCCCATTATGTTTGATTGTAAGCCCTATATTTACCCCTGTCTCTCATTTGGATTTTGTGTGTGATTGTTTCTTTGTGACGTGTGTCGTTGGTGAGCGGGTTAGTTCCTCCCTGTGTGGAGGTATTCTGTTTCTTGTTCTTTGCATTCTGAGTAAAGTATGTTACCGAGAGTTCTGTGTCCTGCACCTGACTTCTTCCACCGCATTTCACTGACATTCGTGACAGTATTAGTAATTTAAATACTTGGATGGCTTACAACTTCCTCCATCTAAATCAAGACAAGACCGAGGAACTTATTGTTGGAGCCAAAGCACAGAGAGAGTATTTTGTCGCACATTTTAATTCACAGGCAATAAAGATTCAATACAGTGGCTTGCGAAAGTATTCACACCCCTTGGCATTTTTCTTATTTTTAAGATCATTTGATTTACACAACATGCCTACCGCTTTGAAGATGCAAAATATTTTTTCTTATGAATCAAACAAGAAATAACACATAAAAACAGAAAACTTGAGCGTGCATAACTATACTGGAAGACTGAAACAGGTTTCCCTCAAGAATTTCCCTGTATTTAGCGCCATCCATCATTCTTTCAATTCTGACCAGTTTCCCAGTCCCTGCTGATGAAAAACATCCCCACAGCATGATGATGCCACCACCATGCTTCATTGTGGGGATGGTGTTCTCGGGGTGATGAGAGGTGTTGGGTTTGCGCCAGACATAGCGTTTTCCTTGATGGCCAAAAAGCACAATTTTAGTCTCATCTGACCAGAGTACCTTTTGGGGAGTCTCCCACATGCCTTTTGGCGAACACCAAAACGTTTTTGCTTATTTTTTTCTTTAAGCAATGGCTTTTTTCTGGACACTCTTCCGTAAAACCCAGCTCTGTGGAGTGTACGGCTTATAGTGGTCCTATTTACTCCAATCTCCGCTGTGGAGCTTTGCAGCTCCTTCAGGGTTATCTTTGGTCTCTTTGTTGCCTCTCTGATTAATGCCCGTGAGTTTTGGTGGGCGGCCCTCTCTTGGCAGGTTTGTTGTGGTGCCATATTCTTTCCATTTTTTTATAATGGATTTAATGGTGCACCGTGGGATGTTCAAAGTTTCGGTTATTTTTTTATAACCCAACCCTGATCTGAACTTCTCCACAACTTTGTCCCTTACCTGTTTGGAGAGCTCCTTGGTCTTCATGGTGCCGCTTGCTTGGTGGTGCCCCTTGCTTAGTTGTGTTGCAGACACTGGGGCCTTTCAGAACAGGTGTATATATACTGAGATCATGTGACAGATCATGTGACACTTAGATTGCACACAGGTGGACTTTATTTAACTATTTATGTGACTTCTGAAGGTAATTGGTTGTACCAGATCTTATTTAGGGGCTTCATAGCAAAGGGGGTGAATACATATGCACGCACCACTTTTCCGTTATGTATTTGTCAGAATTCTTTGAAACAAGTTATTTTTTTCATTCCACTTCACGAATTTGGACTATTTTGTGTATGTCCATTACATTAAATCCAAATAACAAACCATTTAAATTACAGGTTGTAATGCCACAAAATAGGAAAAACGCCAAGGGGGATGAATACTTTTGCAAGACACTGTACCAGGTAAAAAACCTAGGTGTTAATTTCGATTCTAAACAAAATGTGGAATCACACATTAAGAATTTGACCAAAATAGCTTTTTACCACCTGAGGAACATTGCCAAGGTACGGCCGTTTCTCTCTCAGGCTGATACAGAGAATTTAATTACAAGCATGCTTGACTACTGTAATGCTCTCCTGTCTGGTCTACCCAAGAAAGCCATTGGTCAACTACAAAGCATACAGAATGCTGCAGCACGGGTACTGACCAAGAACAGACGGAGAGCACACATTACACCGGTTTTAAGGTCTCTGCACTGGCTGCGTTTGAGATTTAGAATTCATTTTAAGATTGTTTTTTAAATCAATCCATTATTGAACACCCCAAAACATGTCAAACATGCTTTTAAGTTATGTTCCCAGTAGGTCCCTCAGGTCCTCTGGCACTGGCCTTTTAACTATCCCAAAGCCTAGGACCAAGAGGCATGGAGAGGCAGCCTTTAGTTATTATGCCCACAGCCTCTGGAATAGCCTGCCAGAGAACCTGAGGAGGGCCGAAACTGTGGAAATATTTAAAAGAGATCTTAAAACACATATTTTAACCTTTGCTTTCCTTAGGGTTCTTTTTAGTTGTTCAGTTTGTGTCATTCTTTTGTTTTTATCTTATGTTTGTTGAGTAGTAAATATTTCAGCTTTTATTTTCATTGTTTTTTATTAGTTTCTTCCTGTAAAGCACTTTTTGTGCATTCCATGTCTGAAATGTGCTGTATAAATTTGATTTGATTATACTAGTATTTCAGTACTATCAGAGCCCATTATATTATACTAATACTTCAGTATTCAGGGTGGTACTGCGAGTGACCTATCTGTGAAGGTGCTCACACTTGTGTGGAGGAGGTTTTTGTACAGAGACCACCAGAATGAATCACTGTGGAGGACTTTTGGAAGCGGCACAAAACTGGTGCTAAAAAGTATGTAAATGTTTGTCTTTCTTCCATCATACAACAAAATGTAATCATGCTATTAAACAACGTTATGAGATGTTATCATCTTCTCCAGAGGAAATACTTTTATTCTATATATTTTTTGAAATGTCTGTCAACACATTGGTAGATTGGTAAATGGAAGGGAAGGGAGAGAGTTGTTCACATACCACCAAGTTTATTTGGCAATAATAACATGCGATTTTAAAATAACACATTTTGATACATAATATTGCATGTTAGCTCATTGTGCTGTCAAGATGTAGCTACTACTATTTATATAAGCAACAATTTGTATTGTATTCATAGTAGATACTAACACAGACATGGTTTAAAGGTGAACCTCATCTATAGTTTTGAACAGTAATTTGAGTTCATTTTGGTTTGTGTCTCAAAGTAGATTTGTCAAAAATTAAGGTCCTGGAGTGGCCTAGCCAGTCTCCAGACCTTAATCCCATAGAAAATCTGTGGAGGGAGCTGAAGGTTCGAGTTGCCAAACGTCAGCCTCGAAACCTTAATGACTTGGAGAAGATCTGCAAAGAGGAGTGGGACAAAATCCCTCCTGAGATGTGTGCAAACCTGGTGGCCACTACAAGAAACGTCTGACCTCTGTGATTGCCAACAAGGGTTTTGCCACCAAGTACTAAGTCATGTTTTGCAGAGGGGTCAAATACTTATTTCCCTCATTAAAATGCAAATCAATGTATAACATTTTTGACATGCGTTTTTCTGGATTTTTTGTTGTTGTTATTCTGTCTCTCACTGTTCAAATAAACCTACCATTAAAATTATAGACTGCTCATGTCTTTGTCAGTGGGCAAACGTACAAAATCAGCAGGGGATCAAATACTTTTTCCCTCACTGTATGTAAATCTCAGTTTCACTCCCACAGATACCAGTCTAGTAGTTGAACAGTTTCACTGCCTGTAATACCCTGGACTGGGCCAGATGTGAGGGAGTGGACTGGTTTTAACCTCTATGGTGGATTCAGGGAGGGACACATAACAGATATGCCACCATGTAATTAATGACTGATAAAATGGATATTATACTTTACGTACATAGTGTACATGTGTCTCATGTTTGAAACCAGCATCATGTCTCATTCACAGATCTAACAGTCAGTAACCTGGGGCGGCAGGTAGCTTAGTGGTTAAGAGCGTTGTGCCACTAACCGAAAGGTTGCTGGTTCTAATCCCCAAGCCGAAAGGTGAAAAATCTGTTGATGTGCCCTTGAGCAAGGTGCTTAACCCTAGTTGCTCTGGATAAGAGTGTCTACTAATTATTATATAAAACAGTTAATTTAATGCTAGAAGATCACAATTTAAATCACACATTTGGTTGAGCTCCATTTTAGGACTTGTTTTGGGGGGCTGAAGTGATTGTAACTTTGAAGTAATGTTGAGGTCAGAACACCTTTTGATTTACATCTGTAGATCTTGCTTTACATATTGACAGAGAATGTGTTTCAAAACATCAAATAAATGTTAGATACACTTAAAGTCCATGACAATAATAACAAGTTATAACCATGATGATGATGTTAATGATGATGATGAAGGTCATATGACCTGAATGATTGCTTTCTAACCATATTGTCACATGTCACAGTTGACCTCATCTAGTGTTCCATGTCACTGTCTCTTCCCCCTCAGCAGCTGCAGTAGGTCCCAGCGGTCAAATAATAGAGGGAACCTATGATACTCTAGACTGTAGTCCTCAACACCAACACTGGTCTAGTCCTCAACACTATCAATGGTCTAGTCCTCAACACTATCACTGTTCTAGTCCCTAACACTATCACTGGTCTAGTCCTGAACACTATCACTGGTCTAGTCCTGAACATTATCACTGTTCTAGTCCCTAACACTATCACTGGTCCAGTCCTGAACACTATCACTGGTCTTGTCCTGAACACTATCACTGTTCTAGTCCCTAACACTATCACTGGTCTAGTCCTGAACACTATCACATTCTTGTCCTGAACACTATCACTGTTCTAGTCCCTAACACTATCACTGGTCTAGTCCTGAACACTATCACTGGTCTAGTCCTGAACACTATCACTGTTCTAGTCCTGAACACTATCACTGGTCTAGTCCTCAAAACTATCACTGGTCTAGTCCTCAGAACTATCACTTGTCTAGTCCTGAACACTATCACTGGTCTAGTCCTCAACACTATCACTGGTCTAGTCCTCAGTACTATCACTGGTCTAATCCTGAACACTATCACTGGTCTAGTCCTCAACACTATCACTGGTCTAGTCCTGAACACTATCACTGGTCTAGTCCTCAGTACTATCACTGGTCTAGTCCTCAACACTTTCACTGGTCTAGTCCCTAACACTATCGCTGGTCTAGTCCTCAACACTATCACCGGTCTAGTCCTCCCCCTCAGCACCTGCTGCTAAGACTGTCTGGGAGTGGTCTGAGTGGGGAGGGGAAAACGGAAAACTAGCTGTTATTGGCAGAGAGATTTGGAACTCTCTTTGTTATTGGTCTATTAACTAATTTGCTACATGGTAATGTCACCATGGAAAGCCGATCGTCCCTCAAATGCAAACCTGCTAATTAGAAGGTCCTGTGTGCAGTACATCATATTTTCAACTAGGAACAATCATGAAATAACACTGATCCATTTTTTTCACACTTTTACAGTGTTAGTTTCATCAGCTGTTGTACAATATTATATAAAACACAAGAAATACTGAATTTTGACTGCACAGAGCCTTTAATGGATCACTGCTGGTTTTACAGCACTGGAGAGTAACTGCAGTATGTGACCTGAAAGGACAGCCTTCTCTGCAGGATCTGAGTCACAGTGATCTGCCCTCGGGATACTGAGAAATGAATAACACATTGTCAAGATCAGATTCCATTTAAGATCAGTTTTCTAGAACATAATATGCTTTAGAATTCAACAGCAACTTTAACTTGAAAGCAAATGACAAGCATCAAGATGAAGGGGTCTATTCAATCCGTATTGCTGAAGTTCAGCGTTACAGCGTGATTGGAATTTAAAGGCAATGTTCCTGTGTTAGCGGAGACTGCATTCACAGTAAACGCTGCATATGGGGTGGCAGGTAGCCTAGCGGTTAAGAGGTCGCTAGTTCGAATCCCTGAGCCGACTAGGTGAAAAATCTGTCGATGTGCCCTTGAGTAAGGCCCTTATTGCTCCTGTAAGTCCCTCTGGATAAGAACATCTGCTAAGTGAAGTAAATGTAATATGTCAGCTCAATCAAAAATTATCTTGACATTTCTATCCGGCAATCTGTAACACTTCAACGATACAACTTTTATTTCAGATGAAGGGCTCTATTCAATCCGTATTGCTGAAGTTCAGCGCTAAAGCCCAATTGAAATTTAAAGGCTTCAGCGATACAGATTGAATACAGCCCTAACTGTCACTTCACTCATGCTTGGACTCTTATGAAAGCTTCTCAAATCAGTTACTGAACATTTCTCTAAAATGTTTGGGTTTGTTTTATACCTTTCTATTTTATAATAAAACTATAATGTTTTTCATTTAATCAAAAAACTATTTCAAATGAAGAATATAACATTATATTTGGCCAGTATTCATATGTGCTCATGAATTATACCACAGTCTAAAAAAGTTTATTATTCAGCTTGCCCAATGGTCAGGAGGTTTTTTGTACCAGCAGTTATAGGGGTTGTATCACTGTGGTACACTTTTGGTAGTGGCACCAGACTAGATGTTGGAAGTAAGTTTCTTGATGTTTGTCTGATTCAATTTTCTTCTTAAACTCTTTAATCTCTATTAAAACATTTTGATTTGAGATACTTTACTTTCCAAAAATATTGTTATATATTGATTTTGAAAGAGCCTTCTTTAACAGTTTATTTAATCAAAATGTTAAATTGCGGGCATTTTTTTGTATGTTTTATTTGTATGATTGCAGACTATATACAGTGGGGGAAAAAAGTATTTAGTCAGCCACCAATTGTGCAAGTTCTCCCACTTAAAAAGATGAGAGAGGCCTGTAATTTTCATCATAGGTACACGTCAACTATGGCAGACAAATTGAGGGGAAAAAATCCAGAAAATCACATTGTAGGATTTTTTATGAATTTATTTGCAAATTATGGTGGAAAATAAGTATTTGGTCACCTACAAACAAGCAAGATTTCTGGCTCTCACAGACCTGTAACTTCTTCTTTAAGAGGCTCCTCTGTCCTCCACTCGTTACCTGTATTAATGGCACCTGTTTGAACTTGTTATCAGTATAAAAGACACCTGTCCACAACCTCAAACAGTCACACTCCAAACTCCACTATGGCCAAGACCAAAGAGCTGTCAAAGGACACCAGAAACAAAATTTTAGACCTGCACCAGGCTGGGAAGACTGAATCTGCAATAGGTAAGCAGCTTAGTTTGAATAAATCAACTGTGGGAGCAATTATTAGGAAATGGAAGACATACAAGACCACTGATAATCTCCCTCGATCTGGGGCTCCACGCAAGAGCTCACCCCGTGGGGTCAAAATGATCACAAGAACGGTGAGCAAAAATCCCAGAACCACACGGGGGGACCTAGTGAATGACCTGCAGAGAGCTGGGACCAAAGTAACAAAGCCTACCATCAGTAACACACTACGCCGCCAGGGACTCAAATCCTGTAGTGCCAGACGTGTCCCCCTGCTTAAGCCAGTACATGTCCTGGCCCGTCTGAAGTTTTCTAGAGTGCATTTGGATGATCCAGAAGAGGATTGGGAGAATGTCATATGGTCAGATGAAACCAAAATAGAACTTTTTGGTAAAAACTCAACTCGTCGTGTTTGGAGGACAAAGAATGCTGAGTTGCATCCAAAGAACACCATACCTACTGTGAAGCATGGAGGTGGAAACATCATGCTTTGGGACTGTTTTTCTGCAAAGGGACCAGGACGACTGATCCGTGTAAAGGAAAGAATGAATGGGGCCATGTATCGTGAGATTTTGAGTGAAAACCTCCTTCCATCAGCAAGGGCATTGAAGATGAAATGTGGCTGGGTCTTTCAGCATGACAATGATCCCAAACACACCGCCCGGGCAACGAAGGAGTGGCTTCGTAAGAAGCATTTCAAGGTCCTGGAGTGGCCTAGCCAGTCTCCAGATCTCAACCCCATAGAAAATCTTTGGAGGGAGTTGAAAGTCTGTGTTGCCCAGCGACAGCCCCAAAACATCACTGCTCTAGAGGAGATCTGCATTGAGGAATGGGCCAAAATACCAGCAACAGTGTGTGAAAACCTTGAGAAGACCTACAGAAAACGTTTGACCTGTGTCATTGCCAACAAAGGGTATATAACAAAGTATTGAGAAACTTCTGTTATTGACCAAATACTTATTTTCCACCATAATTTGCAAATAAATTCATAAAAAATCCTACAATGTGATTTTCTGGATTTTTTCCCCTCATTTTGTCTTTCATAGTTGACGTGTACCTATGATGAAAATTACAGGCCTCTCTCATCTTTTTAAGTGGGAGAACTTGCACAATTGGTGGCTGACTAAATACTTTTTTTCCCCACTGTAACTCTTATTCTGGTATGATAACTATAATATTTGTTATTGTAGTCATCAGTGCATTGTGTTCATGATAGCCAGAAAGGGTCTCTGTTATTTGTATCCAACCTCTTGGATTCTGCAAAATACTACAAATATGAGTATTCTGATGAGAAACGATCCTAAAAAAATGTATGTATGACAAAGTAATGCTAAAGTTAAACACGTCATACTTGTATGCTTTCTGCTTGTATACTTTATACTTGTAATCTGCTTTCCTATCATACTAATGTTTGTGTTTTCTTCACGTCTTTTAGCAATCTAATCTAAGTTTTAGAAGTCATTTCCAAAGTACTTTGTTTTGATGAAGTTGATGTGTTGTGTTTCTTCCGGGTAACAGTTCCCAAACCCGTCCAGCCACCCTCTAGTGAGGAGCTGTCCAGTAAGTCAATAGCCACGCTGATGTGTCTGGCCAACAAGGGCTTCCCCTCAGACTGGACCATGAGCTGGAAAGTGGACGGGACCAGCAAGAAGCAGGAGGCCAGTCCCGGGGTCCAGGAGAAGGACGGCCTGTACAGCTGGAGCAGCACACTGACTCTCACTGCCCAGGAGTTGACCAAGGCAGGAGAGGTGACCTGTGAATTCCAGCAGAAATCCCAGACTCCAGTCACAAAGACCCTGAGGAGGGCTGACTGTTCTTGGTAGGACCCCTCAGTCACACACCCCTGTGGAGAGAGGATGCTGGTTCCTCTGCTTTGACTAGCTTTGTTCTAAAATCAGTAATTCTCTGATTTAGAGATCACCCTGGTGTAGACTAACAGGGGGCTAGGCTTAAATTCACGTGTCAATCCATTCTGTAGATTGAGATTGTCTTAGTTTTAGATTTGATGTGATCTGCTTTTATTCACTATCATGTTTGTTTTGATGCTTCGATTGTGTGATAATGGATTAAAATAAATATTTCTTTTTGAAATGCATATTTTTGTTGTTTCTATTAATAAACAGTATCATAGATACTGTATATTTGTAATATTCTGGAAAAATATGTATTCAGTAAGGCTGATTAATGGTGTCTTTAAAAACTGTCAAGTCTAAAACTCACTCTAACATCATAATGGACCAGTATTTAATATTATCACAATATATTATGATATAATAGAAGAGGTTCTGCCATGGTAGTAGTTGACTGTCTTCATTCATCAGGATACTGAGTCTGTGTCAGACCTGTTTGACTTGACAGACTTCACAGTAATAAAATAAGAACTATCAAACAGTCAACCGATATATTGGACTCTCACGTGTGTTATAGGCTTTGATTGAAGCTAAAAAAAAAAAAAAATACAAATACAAGTGGCACAAGATTTAGCAGCGTTTCCCATTCTCGGTCCTCAAGGGGTGCACATTTAGTTTTTTGTCCTAACACTACACAGCTGATTCAAATTATCAAAGCTCGATGATTAGTTGATTCTTTTTTTATCAGCTGTGTAAACCTAGAGCAAAAACCAAAACGTGCACCCCTTGGGGTCCCGAGGACCGAGTTTGGGAAACACTGCTATATAGTGTAGTGACAGTCTTCTCTACCTCCAACCCCCTGGGGACAGAGTGAACATCTGGTGACAGTGCTGCTCTATTCTGGGACAAGCAGAACCACCCAGCCCTGTCTATGTAAATCTCAGTTTCACTCCCACAGATACCAGTCTAGTAGTTGAACAGTTTCACTGCCTGTAATACCCTGGACTGGGCCAGATGTGAGGGAGTGGACTGGTTTTACTGTAACCTCTATAGTGGATTCAGGGAGGGGGACTTTCTTACAATGAATAAACCACCATTTAATAGATGACATAAAATATGGGTATTACTAAATATAGGCATTGACAGTTACTGACATCACATTCTAATTCCTAATTCTATGGTTACGGATATGTGTGTAATGTCTGAGCTCAAAACATTTTTCCTGAAAGCAGAGGGCAAGTGTCCAGATGAGGATGGTGATAAAAGTCATGGTTGTTGTGGGTTCTGTTGTCATGAAGGACAGCTCTCAGTCATGAAGTGTTCAACTCACAGGGATATTAACACTCCCAGACCTCTAAAGCATGTGCTGGCAATGCAAAGTGTTCTCTCTACGCAAACAGACTTTCATGGTCCCACAGAGAAACTGTAGTTGAAGAGATCTTCTTCTTTGGTATAATGGTGTTCGCAACAATTATGTGTATTCCGCCACCTACTGTACAGATTGATAATAAGGATCCAATACAAAATCCATACAAACTATCAGTAACAAAATGTTAATTCAACTAAATCAAAACGAAATGTGTTTTAATCAGGTCCCTACACAGGCTCAGAAGGATCCTGTGATGGCGGGACATTTCCTGGCGACAGTAGTCCTTGCAGTGCTTCTGCTGTTAAGTCTTCTCGGCTGCAGATATAATGATGTCCAGCTTCTTAGACACTTGTGCAGTACAATTAATAACTGTGGCTATAAATACTACAAAATACACCTTTTTCACAATAAGTGTATCCAGATTACTTGATTGAAGTATAACATTTGCAACTGGTTGTGGTGCATCCACCACCATATCTTCTTCAGAACTTCAACGCTCTTCACCGCCTCCACATAGGAGATTTGCTGTACAGCCCTGATCCTTGACACCTCAACCTCTTTCACCCTAACAGAACACTCAGGGTATTTGGAAATATGATCCCCGCCACAGTTGAAACATTTTACATTCACAGACTCTTCAATAACATATTCCTTCCATCTGCAAACACTTGACACATGGCCAAACGTTTTACACTTTTTGCATAGCTTCGGGTTTTGCACGAATGCTCTTACAGCGTATCTTATATCCCAACTTTACATAGGGTGGTAAATACTCATCAAACATCAATAATACAGATAAACGTTGCTCCTTTTTCCCATTCTCCATACTACTCCTGGAATTTTTAGCCTAAGATATTGATTATCAATGTCCAACGGAACGCCAGAAATAACACATTTTACCGGTGCCCTGCTCTGAAAACCAAAGTTGTTCACTTCATGTGTCGATATTTTAGCGAGCCACAATGCACATTCCTTTTGCTCTTTAGATACACACCATATCAACACCATACCACTCCTGGTTACTATGATATCAACACCATACCACTCCTGGTTACTATGATATCAACACCAAACCACTCCTGGTTACTATGATATCAACACCATACCACTCCTGGTTACTATGAGATCAACACCATGCCACTCCTGGTTACTATGATATCAACACCATACCACTCCTGGTTACTATGATATCAACACCATACCACTCCTGGTTACTATGATATCAACACCATATCACTCCTGGTTACTATGATATCAACACCATACCACTCCTGGTTACTTTGACTGCATCCACTTTTCCCAACGCCTTCTTCACCATCCTCGTGACTTCAAAAGGGTTTCCCAAATAAACATCTTTATCCAAAAAACATACTCCAACAAGGAACGATTCATCAGACTCATTTTCCACAACAATTTGTCTTCTTGCCTCTAAGTTCAAATAAAGCTAGTTTTGATTAGAAAATAACCCAATCATTGATTTAGTCATGATTCCAGTGATCACTATCGCATTAATTTTGTTCCATTCTTGGACTTCACTGTTGTCCACTCATCTTTCTCACTAACTGTACTAGCCGCGCTTTCAGTTTCAAACGACACTTCTTCTTCCACCATCTCTCCCCTCGTTGAAGAGATGTGTGAGCAGCTGACCTTTAAAAAGGTTGAGAGCTGATTGTCCAGCCAATCATGGCCTTGATTGGTAAATGAGCCTCAGCTGGAATCAATTAAAGACTGGGAAGGTGCTGGAAGATAGCAGGGCGTGCCAGGAACGAGGTGTTGTACTAACGGTCAGGCGTTTAAGAAATATATCATTGATGCTGATGGTACTATTGTGGAAGATATGATGGAAACAAGAGCATATGTCTTAACGATGGATGTGGTACAAGAGTTTATGTTGTTAGAGGGGTTACATCCTGCCTGGACCTCGCTGGCTTCTAACTCTATTGCATCTATGTGTGAATGGAATGGATGATTCTACTGTTGGAAGTGGTAATTTCCCAATTTCGTGTACCATGAACTTTGATGTTACTACTCCAGATAGGGTACCGTTCAGATGATGGTGCTTTCATAATGCAGACTGGGAAAATTTGGTGATCATTACTTAAATGTTGGACAGTTATCTTTAGAGAGGCTGGTTGATGTATGTGCTTTCTCTGTGACTTCACTGATTTTGAGTGCTACAAATGTGTATGTACCAGAGAGTGAAGTGGGTGAGAAAAGGAAGGTGTTTCCATGGTGGACTGAAGAGTGCACTGCGGCTATTAGAGAAAGAAATAGGGCTTACAGAGTGTTGCGTAGGTTCTATGACTCCTGAGAATCTAATTGATTTCCAAAGGAAGAGAGCTTTAGTACGTAGGGTCATTAAGTCTGTCAAGAGACATGCATGGAGGCAGTTCTGCTCTACAATAGGCAGGGGTACTGAGCTGGGGGATGTATGGTCTATGTTGAAGAAGATGACCGGAAGATGCAAGTCCACTCGAATTCCAGTTTTGGTTGTGGGTCAAAAAATGATAAAGAAAAAGCTGACTTGTTGGGGAAGACATTTGCTAGTGTACATAGTGGGGTTACTTTGGATGAAGTATAAAAGCAACGTAGGTGTGAGATTTGAAATGCTTATGTTAATGTATATAAGAAAGGGATACTGTTGACTCTTCTTTGGATGCTGATTTTACCATACATGACATGCGTTCAGCCATAATAGGCTGTGGATATACAACCACAGGTCATGATCAGTTGTGCTTTGTAATGTTTAAGCATATACCTGATGAGGTAAAGTAGTGTATCTGTTTATTGCATGTCTTTGTAGACTTAGGGGCAGTTTGCCAGACACATTAAGCTTAGTCCTGGACTGAAAAGCAAACTCAATTGGATAATCTTCATTGAAAGAGCTTTTAGTCTAGGACAATGCTTCATCTGTGTCCAGGAAACCCCCTCCTAGTGTTTTGTTGCTCTTGGTGTGCTAAACTGTAGAGCATGAATGTAACATTCATTTATCTGATGAATTGTTTTGTCTAGAAATATTTTCAGAGTTGATTTTTGCCTTTATCTTTATAGATTAAGTGTTTTGTTGTTGTCGGTTGTTCTCAGTACTGTAGCTAGTTGTTTATCCTGTGTGTATTACTCCTCTCCTCTCCTCTCCTCTCCTCTCCTCTCCTCTCCTCTCCTCTCCTCTCCTCTCCTCTCCTCTCCTCTCCTCTCCTCTCCTCTCCTCTCCTCTCCTCTCCTAATATATTTCATTATACAATAGTAGTAGTAGCTGACCCTCCTCTATCATCTCTCCTCTTCTCCAGCTCTTCCCTCTGTCAGGCACACAGTGTCTCTGCTCCCTCCTGTCCTCTGAGTAACTCTCTGCGTACTCGGCCAAACTGGCCTGCCTGCTGAGTGTCTACTCCCCCCAGGAGGAGATGGTGAGCTGGGAGGTGGACGGGGCGGAGGTCAAGGATAGGGTCCTGACCACCACAGAAGAAGAGAAGGGTGGCCACTTAAGCCGCAGTAGCACCCTGACCCTGAGCAAGGCACGCTGGGAAGATGGAGAGGTGAGCACCTGCACGACGACGACACCAGTGATTCAGCCGTCAATATAGTGTCTAGAGACCGGAGAAGCAATTGTAGGGTTCTAGAGAATCCCCACATGGTGCTAGTGAAGGAAACATTAGTGTTTTAGATCTGAATGTTACAATATAATAGTGAATAATATCAGTAGTGCTGTGTGCTAAAATGAACTATTTTGAAATTATGTTGTACATGTCTTCTTGCCTCTGAGTTCAAATAAAGCTTGTTTTGATTAGAAAATAACCCAATAACTGATTTAATCATGATTCCAGTGATCACTATCGCATGAATAGGCAGCACATTTCATACTAACTTATATCAATCAGCTTCTTTTATAATTTCAGCATTGTAGCATATAGCTACTCTCATGTCTTCAAACAGAATTAAAAGGGCATCTGATCCAACAAATACTCTGTAATCATTTCTACAACTGAATAATCCTGTTATACTGTAGCACCAATACCAGTGATAATAATTAGTGATATTTGATAATAAACCTCTAAGATCTGCTCTCAGAACTCACAGTGCTAAACAGTTACTTTCCATAACATATACATTTATGATGTTTAATTCCTAATATGATTTTATTAAATTAGATATTTTTGCAATGGTTTTCAACAATGTGTGGTCTACACTTCTCCATTATATTTCCCCTGGTCTTCTCTACCTCCAACCACATGGGAACAGGATGAACATCTGGTGACAGTGCTGCTCTATTCTGGGACAAGCAGAATCACCCAGCCCTGTCTATGCTGAATTAACATTACTTTTCTTTTTACTTCAGTAGATTTTACTTTGCATATGAACAGGTAATGTGTTCCAAAACGTCTAATACATTTTTATATACACTTTCAGTTCATGACAATATAACAAGTTACAACCATGATGATGATGATGATGACACTTTCTAACCATTTTCAAAGTTGACCTCCTCTACTGATCAGTGTTCCATGTCAGTGTCTCTTCCCCCTCAGCTCCTGCAGTAGGTCCCAGCTGTAGCAGTACAGTCTGACTGAGGGAGGATTATGTATCTGTGAACACCCAGACACTGTTGGGGTAGTGGAAACTCTGACAGTAGTAATCTCCTGCATCTTCAGCCTGGACTCCACTGATGGTCAGAGTGAAGTCACTATGAGTTCCACTACCACTGCATCTAGATGGAGTGTTTTAGTATGGTAAATAAGGAGTTCATGAGTTCCTACAGGTTTCTGTTGATACCAGGCACAGGGGCGGTGTGTTCATTAGGGCGATATGGGCGACGCACTGCCAAACGGGAAAAGGAAGGGATTTTTTTTCTAATCAATTATATCACGGCAACAGTAGTTATCAGTGTTCTAATCTAGACGTCTGATCTGCCACTAAATGTCCAATCAGGCTAAAGTCGTGCTTCAAATGGCCCCGCCCCTTTTGGGGCGATTTCAGTCAGGTTGAAAATCGCCCCAGAAGTCTCTCATAGACTCTCATGTAAAATCTTTTTTTTATAAAATATCATAGCTTTCAATACAATCTCTATGGGTTCCGGGAGGGCTTGCACTTACGCGCTTTCGTCATACGTAACATAACCATGAACGTAACTAAGAAAAGAGCGGGTAGCAGCGTCAATAAATTCACGTACTACTGTCAAGATGGCTAGCGTTCAGTGCAACTCGATTGTCTCTTTGAAAGAAGTTCCTTTTTGTCGGCGAACAAATCAAGATAAATTGGCAACGAAACAATTAGGACCTCCCAGACCAAATTTAATAATTCAACAGGTTTCTACTAAAGGGGGAAAGTCCTACACCCGAGGATTTTCCAAAAATTGGTACGAACGAAAAACCTGGCTAGCAGGCTGCAATGTAGCTAATGCAGTCTTCTGCTACCCCTGCTTACTCTTTCACCCTGAAGGCGGCACGGGAGACAGCACCGCTTGGACAGCGACTGGTGTAACGGACATGCACCATCTTTCAGAAAAGATTAAGAAACATGAGCTGTCAAAGACCCACATGGATAGCTGTTTGAGATTGTCTGCTTTGGGGAGAGTGAACATTGCCACTCAACTGGATGAGGGATACAGGCTAGCTGACCGCCGCCACAACGATGAGGTTAGCAAGAACCGCCACATCCTCAGCCGGCTAATCCAGTGTGTGAAGTTTTGCGGAGTGTTTGAGTTAGCTTTGCGAGGCAAAGATGAAACTGAGGGCTCCACCAACCCTGGTATTTTTCTTGGACTTGTCAACTTTAAGGCACAATTAGATGAGGTGTTTTATGGAAATGCATATTGTTTATGCAGTGTTGAGGAATGTGAAAGAACACCCTTGATTATTTTTACTGTGATAACTTATTTTGCTTTTGTAAGCCAACACTTTTGAGATCAGTCAATAAATGCTTCTGGTATTGACTTATATGCTGCCCCTGTCTTCATGTTGTTGCTGGACATATATTTTTAAAATGTGTGTAGGTCACCTAAATCATCAGAAAAATTGCCCCCCTGAGAATTTTTTCAGGAGCCGCCACTGACCAGGCAAGACGGGCATCAGAGTAACCTGCTTGATACACATTACTGCACGTTTTACAGTTCAGAGAGACTGTCTGTCCTGGGAGAAAAGTTTTCACTGCAGGAGTCTGAGTCACAGTGATCTGTCCTCTGGATCTGAAAAATAGAATAAAACATTTATATGAAATGAATATCACATATATTAAGCAATTGTTCTGAATAAAATATTTACATTAATATACATTATACTTTTGTGTAGATGAAATAATTGTTTAACAACAAATTCTGAAAATGGTAACCTTGAAAGCAGAAAGCAAGTGTCCAGATGAAGATGGTGATAAAAGTCATGGTTGTTGTGGGTTCTGTTGTCATGAAGGACAGCTCTCAGTCATGAAGTGTTTAACTCACAGGGATATAAACACTCCCAGAGTACTGAAGCATGTGCAGCCAATACAAAGTGTCTTATATGTAAATATTCTTCTAGGACAGTCAGACTTTATTAGTAAATGTTGTGTGATGTGATGTAGAAACATGATACCTATGTAATCACTGATATCATTTCTGATATAAGTGCTGAATGGGGACTGATATATTGCTTCCTCAAGCTCTTCCAAAAGTTCTGTGCAATCCTCCATTGCATATTTACACTAAACATATTCCATGTCCCTCCTTTTTTTCTAGTCCATCATCTTCTCCTTCACCAGATCTTCCAGAAGACTAGTAATAATCCCTCACTCCATATTAATTCATAATATGTTTCACTTTCTTCCTTTTCCCGTCCGACAGAATGTCAACCCCTCATCATCCTCCGCACTCGTTCAAAACAACTGGGCGTTAAAGGGATCTGTGGGAATAGAAGCATTTTAAAGGTTGAGGCTGATTGTCCAGCCAATCATGGCCTTGATTGGTTAACGAGCCTCATCTGGGCTCAATCAAATGCTGGGAAGGTTCTGGAAGGTTCCAGACAGGCGTGGCAGGAGAGAGGTTAAGCTTTGACAGAACCTTAGTTCGTTTAAGTGGCTTACAATCATTTTTTATCATCTCAAAGCAAAGTGTCTTATATGTCATTATAAACTGGGTGGTTCGAGCCTTGAATGCTAATTGGTTGACAGACGTGGTATTTGAGACCGTGTACCACAGGTATGACAAAACATTTATTTGTATTGCTCTATATACGTTGGTAACCAGTTTATAATAGCAATAAAGCTCCTCAGGGGTTTGTGATATATGGCCAATATACCACAGTTAAGGGCTATGCCTAGTTACTCCGCGTTGCGTCGTGCATAAGTAGAGCCCTTAGCCGTGGTATATTGGCCATATACCACACCCAATCAGGCCTTTTGCTTGAATAGTCTTCCTGAAAATCAGACATATTAATACATCTTGTGTGATGTGATGTAGAAACATGATAGCTATGTAATCACTGATATAAGTGATGAATGCGGACTGATATAATGATTATAAGCGTATCGTTATTTATGTGTTATTAGACCAGACACTCTTTTCTGTCTCCCTCAAGTGGTCAGGGTTAGTAACTGCAGTCTGTGTGTGGACCGTGTGATGCCACTAAATGACAGCTCTAAAGGGGAGATCTCCAGAGCTCTGATGTCTCCAGTCTCCTGCTTCACCTGCTGCTCTCTTGAACTACCACAGCAGTGGTGTAAAGGAGGATGTATGGGTAATGTTTGTAGGCTATATTGTATGTGTTTGAATCATGTTAATTAAATTCTAGCAATTCAAAACACAGGTCATCTTTAGGGATTTTGATCATTGCACATCATCTCTTTTCAGATTGGATGATGGTTTTCCTTGAGTTACTCAACAGAGTCAACATGTAGTTAATGGTCAGGATAAACATTTAGTGATCAGTTATGATCCAAGGCAGTGGCGGCTCCTGAAAAAATTCTCAGGGGGGGCAATTTTTCTGATGATTTAGGTGACCTACACACATTTAAAAAAAGATATGTCCAGCAACAACATGAAGACAGGGGCAGCATATAAGTCAATACCAGAAGCATTTATTGACTGATCTCAAAAGTGTTGGCTTACCAGGGTTGGTGGAGCCCTCAGTTTCATCTTTGCCTCGCAAAGCTAACTCAAACACTCCGCAAAACTTCACACACTGGATTAGCCGGCTGAGGATGTGGCGGTTCTTGCTAATGTCGTAGTAAATATATTTGTTATAGTGAATATGGAATATGATATATTGAGTAAAATGTTGTGCTAAGATCTATTTAGGTCAGGAGCTGGTTATAAGTTCTGTTCCTATCCAATAACAATGGACAAAAGGGTCCTATCTTGTCAGCCTTGTCAGCAGGTGGCCAAGGACAACACCCACGCCATAGGCCTCTCAGTTCTTCCAACTCACGAGTTCTTGCTCTGAGGACACACACACACACACAAACACACACACACACACATCATCACTGTTAAACACACACACACACACACACACACACACACACACACACACACACACACACACATCATCACTGTTAAACACACACACACACACACACACACACACACAAAAATCCCCTCTCTTAGGCTGAACATTTGAAGACAGAGAACCCGACTCAGAGCCAATGCAACAGTGACACTAGCCTGGAGGGGACCTCGCCCAACTCATCAGGACCAATCAGAAGATCAGAACTACTAGATTCAACCTACTTCATTTATACACAATGTTTCGGGGCTCTCTTCAGATAGCTCCCTAAGAGTTTGACGAACGGGTCCGTGCACGCGATTCCAGATATCTTTACCTCTGAATAAACTGCC